GGCTCAGGTGGGCTGGGGGCAGGCTGCGCCCACGGGTGAGACTTGGCTCCAGAAGAGGGGTCTCAGGAGTGCGGCCTTGGCCTCCCTCCAACGCTGGCGGGATCTCAAAGTGATTTTTCACATCTGGTTTACGCCTGGAGCAGCCGTCAGCAGTCCGGGCTCCGTCGCTACTGGAGATTGGAAGTGGCAGCGTGTCCTGCAGGCAGAGCAGTTCATTAGGGGCGAAATTAGATTCCGGGCTGTAGCGCCGGCTGCAGTCCTAGCGGACGAGGTGAGCGGGAGGCTCCCGCGGCCCGGCGGCCAGTCTGGACGGGAGGGCCTGCTTTGGCCTCACACTGGAAGCTAGCCCAGCCCCGGGCCCTGCTGGGCTTCTGGGCCACCCAGCCCCCGGGGAGGCACAGCCTGATTGGGATGGACATTATTCTGGGGAGAGGGAATTTCTACAGTGGAAGACCGTGCTCAGGCTCGACCCTGAACGGCTACGGTGAGCTGCTTCAGAGCCTCTGTTTTCCCATCTGTTAAATGGGTGAGAACATTTTCTGCCTTTAGGGTTGTCGTGGGCCTGGTGCATAGCAGACTCACTGTGAATTCTAGCCTGGAGGGGCGGGGCTGGATGTCAGAGACCCTTCCCCACTTGCTGAAGAGCAGCCAGTGGGGGCTGGAGGGACAGTGGTGTGCTGGCAACCTTCTCCGATCCCGGCTGCTCCCTTGTTAGATGGTGATTTCACTAAGTACACAAATGAGATTAACAGCCCCAGCCATCTCCTGAGTTAGTCTTTGGAGGCTGTGAAGGGGTCTGGGGTGGGCCTGACCACGGGGGCTTTGCCCTGCCAGTGCCGAGGGACCCTCCCAGTTGGCCCCACAGCAGTGAATCAGGACTGAGGAGCCAGGTGGCAGGGGTTCTGTCATATTTTCCCAGAAAATAAATAATTCCCTGCTGCCAGATGGGGCGAGGGTGTGGGACGGGGAGACGGAAGCAGAAGCAGAGGAGTCTCTCCCCGGAGGTGGGCGCTGCCCCTGTGTCTCAAGTGCAGGGGCAGGCAGAGCACACATGTGCACACACCCGCACAGGCGCACGCACATCCGCACAGGCGTGTGCACACCCACACACGCGCACACGCCCACAGAGCGCACCCCGTGACGTGCAGGTGTGGCTGCAGGCTGACCACCAGGAGGGGCCCCTCTGGCCAGTGTGATTGCCTCCACTGTCCTCTGTCTCTCCTGTCACCTCGCGTCTGCTCTGGGCCCCTCCCCGCACCGCTGTCCGTGTGTCAGGACCCCAGCCCTCAGGACCCTGCCAGTCCTCTGCTCAGAGCTCGGGCTGTGGCTCAGATGTCCCTCCTGACGTCTGGCTGCGGTTTCTCCTGCTGCCCGGTGCAGACAGTGTTTGCTGTGGGTCCTGGGGCACAGCAGCAGGCAGCCAGCGGGGGTGTGCTTCCAGCCAGAGCTGCGTCTCCAGGTGGCCCGCTTCCTCGCTGCTCGTGAGCGTCATCTGAGGTCCCTTGTCACCCTGGCTCCCCCTCCTCACCCCCCCCCATCCCGGCCCCTGGAATCTGGGCTGCTTGAGATACTGGTCTCCTTGGCAACCGCTGCCGGAGAATTCGCGATCATAACCATTCTCGGGCTGCAGGGAAACCGCCCCATTCTGGCACCGGGGACGCTTCCTCCCTCCTTTCTTTCCCTGCAGCCTGGACGGTTCCCAGGCTGGAGGGCATGAGAAGGCCCTCCCCCACCCGGGCCTTTGGGTGCTGGAGAGACCAGGCTGGGATGAGCCTGTGGGGTGGGTAGAGCCACTCACCTGTCCCCATCAGGAGGAAGCAGACCAGCCATCCTGCGCCAGCACAGCACAGATTTCTATCTGAACGTTTCCTCATGAGCCACGCCGGTCCTCGGGGCCTGGAGGGGACACACTCTGAGCACGTGGCCGTGTCGTGAGGGGCCCCCGCGGTGGTGCTGGTCTTCCCTGTGCACCGTCCCCAACACCTCTCCTAGGGCGAGGGGTGGGAAGAAGGGCCCCTTCCTCCTACAGCTGTCAGGAGCCGGGACTGAGGGTCACGGGGTCGCTGAGGGAAAGGACTGTGGGAACACTGGCCATTTGCAGACCCCAGAGCACCCACAGGAAACTCCAGGTCTGCCCAGGGCCCCAACCGCTGCAGCCCAGGGGCCCCGCCATGGGCTGCGGGGCTTTGGTGACTCTCCCCTGTTGCCTTGCAGGAGGCTGGCCCCTCCTCCAGGCTCCCCAGGGCTGGACCCCACCCACGTGTCCCCATCACCAAGGACACTGTGCTCTGGCATCATGAGGCCAGAGGCAGAGCCCCCTACCACCTTTCTGAGACTCAGTGTTCCCCTGTGTAAGGTGGGTATGAGTGTGGATGTGGCAGGGGGCGTGGCAGGGCACCCTTGTCACCAAGGTGCCTGCAGATGGGAAGAGGCCTGGAAAGAAGTGTATTCCCCGTTGCTCAGCGGCCTGCAGGGCCAGCTGGGGAGCGAGGGAAGGCTCTGGGATCTGTAGGAGACTCGAGTCCTGGGCCTGGGAGGCTGGGCAGGTGGGCGGCCTCTCTCCATGGGGATCTGCTTGTCTTTGCTGCGGGTGTGGGGTGCCCCACGTGGCTGCCTGCCTCCTTCCTCCTCCTCACGGGTGGGCAGGCCACACCCCTTTCCCCCGCCTGCCGTCTGTGGCCACCTGCTCCAAAACCTCAGAAGCCGGGTGGCCTCTGCTCGGGTTCACTCTGCTCACCTGGTGGCCTAGGAACATTCACCGTGTCTGGCTTCGGGTTTTTCTTCTCCTGTATTGCTGGTGTGGCCCTGGACATCCCAGTCCCTGCCTTCTGGGAAGAGCTCTGCGTCCGTAGAGCACGGCCAGGCCATTCTGGAATGTTCCAAGATGCCAGTCAGAGCTGCCCTCGGGAAGCAGGGCCGGGAGGGCCCAGTTGCTTTGGGACTTGGGCCTTCCCTTTTTACTTCAGGGTAATGTTTTCGTACGGTGTGAGTCTGAGTGTGGACTCCCGGGTCCCCCCACACGGATGACAATGGCATCAGGCCCATCAGGCCCCATTCTTTAGTCTGGTTGGACTTGCCCTCTGCTGAGTCCTGGGACCCCCTGTCGTCCCTTTCTCTGGACCACCCCTTCCCTTCTCCCTTCTTGGCCCCACCGATTCCTTCTTGCCTTTGTGGACACCTTCTCAGGGAAGCCTGCCAGATTTCATGTCTCCCCTGGGCTCTCTGCACCTCTGCCCCGGGCCAAGCTGGGCTGGGTGGCCTCCTTGCCGTGGGCTCTCCCGTCACCCAGGCCTCCGGGGTCCTGACCCAGAGCCCTGGAGTCTCCGGGTCCCCCATTCCTGGCAGAGGCACTGTGTGTAAATGCTGCTTCCCCACTGACTGAGTCGGGAAAAAATACCACCAGGCAGAGAATTATGAATAAATATAAGACACATGAGAGCTGGACATTTTTTTTCCAGCGCTCGGTTAATTGAATAAATTGTCTAATGAGCAAAGGAAATTAATTGTGGTTTTGAGATGTGACTGTTTCTTCGCGTGGTTTTGTGTGTGCCAGCGGGCACCGGCTTTGCCTTCGTCATCTGCTGTCCGTGCCTCTGCTCCGGAGTGGGGTGCGCGCCGGGAGCGCCCTCACCAGCCA